CGGAGGCTCAGCCAGGGACAGGATCTGTCTCAGTGGAAAACCAGAGCTCAAAGCCCAGCAGGCAGGAAGGGACGTTGCCTACCCGTTCCCCTCCTTCCATGTAGTGGGTTTCCTCTGCCGGAGCACGGCTTTGTCCTATGTAATGTCACTTGAAGTCCACCTAGCAAAAAGTAGGGTGAAGCTAAATGCTGAGTTAATATCAGTACATTTTTCCCCTTAGGCTTCAGGAGCTCAGAGAAGACAGGAGTGGGGCAAAATTATGATATTTGTGGCAAAGATGGAGCAGGGTGGAGAGCTGAGGATTGGCAGAGCAGCCCTAGGGGAAGAGGCTCCATTAGGAAATTGCCTCTGTGACCTGGTGCAAGAAATGTCTCAGCTGGGCGCTAACATCCTCCACAGGGGCCATGGGCTAATCTGCGTCATGGCTGTGTCAGGTGGGGGGGAACGGTGCCTCCTGAGGCCTGAAATTTTAATTTGTCTTTTTGTGTGGATTAAGAGAGAACACTGTCAGTACCCAGGGAAAAGAAAAAGTCCACAGAGAAGCGATTAATTGATTTTTGTTTGTACTGAACATTCTGGAAATGTTTGGGAACATCAGTTGGTCGGAATAACAGTGGTAGGCTCTCAGTGTGCAGAGAGTGCAGCTAAAAGTAATTAGGTGCAAATTAATTTTCCCACCTTGCAAGAGCACAAAACCAGCCTCTGACACTGTGCGAAGGTCAGCTGAAGGAGGTGAAGTGGTGGAGGGCCAGCTGCCCCCTCTCAGCCTCCCCATGTCAGAGGCAGCAAGGAGAGGCTGCTCGCCTCCAACGTGGCCCATGGAGAGGGGGTTGTGCGTCGGGACAGAGCAGGTTTTGCAGGGCTGTGGGAGCATGGCAGGTCCAGGCTGAGCAAAACGTGTTGCACTTGGGCTTGCTCAAATTATTGCTGCACTGTCCTGGGGGAGCTGGAGCAATGCTCGTCCAGCAAGGCCTCCTCATGTGGTGGAACAGCAGCCTAGAGGGAGAGCTTGAAGGTGAAGTTTGCAATCTAGGCATGTTAGGTTTAGGATTTTTTAAGATGTCCTGGACTTCTCGTTGCTTAGGGGTACACGTGGAGGCAACGTTGACCCTCGTGGAGGCAATGTCCAACCTTGTGGATGCTGGATGGGTTCAGTCTAGTGGTAGGAGTGGGAGGATCGTTTCTTCTTTCTCCCATTGCTCAAAAAATGCTTCCTAATATTTTTGTTTCCCAGTGATTAAGTGTCCTTTCTTTGTTCTAAAATAGTCATGATTCCCTCAAATTAGAACGTTTCTAAAAGAAGCCGGAGTTAGGGGCATACCAGCCTGCTTCCAAGTCCAACTCTCCTGAAAGGATATTTTACATAAGCTTTGCAGTGCATCTCGGCAAGATGGTTGCTTGTTGCACCCTTGCGGTAACGGAGCTGCTGCTGGCCAGGGCAGCGGGCTTTCCTCTGCGAGCGCCTGCTGTGTCACATGTGGTGAGTGGTGGGGACCCATGGCCCTCTGCAGAAGAAATTCAGCTTAGCTTCTTTCCTGCCCTGGGTCAGTTAGTGAACTGGGTGAGCAAAGGGCACGTTAACAGTGTAAGGTCAATGGAAAGAAACCCCTCTGTGGGATTTTTTTTTTTTTTTTTTGACAAAGCAGTGCATTTGATCTCTGAGATAGCATGGGAATGATTAAAGCCCTAGCCAAGCATACAGAAGAAAAATGACTCTCTGAAGCAGTCTTGAAATGATTTTTGTTACAGCCAACAATCTGACTTGGGTAACTTGAGTGCAGAAATTGCCTGGAATCTCTTCTTTTTTAAATGCCAAGGCAAAGTTTAAGCACCCTTTTGCTGTATCACTTTCTAACAGTGTTTTCCGTAAGGCTGGCTGGAGCACTGTTTTCTGACACCCAGATTGATGAATGCACTTTTTTTTGTAAGATGGGTCTGAATTCAAACCAAAGACTGGAACAAGCTTGACCTTTGGGAAGCTTGGGCAAGGCCAGCCAGGTCTAGAGGATACAAAGGCAGTCCATGGCTCCCAGGACACCTTTGTTAAGACAGCCTTAGATGATAGGATAGTATTCTGAAGCCTGAGCTGACAATACTGTGTATTTTTTTTTTTTTAAGTGTGGGTGAATATGGAAGTGATTTAATTTCTTTTTTCCCCTGCTGACTTAGGCTGCTGACCTAGAGCAGAAAGTCTTTGTATCTGTTCACAGACCCATCTCATGCCCCCTGTGCAGATTGCCTCTTTTATGCAGAGGGCAAAAACTGAAACAAAAAAGCAAAACCCACCTCTCCAGTGATGATGCTCTGGGATACATGGCACTGGAGTCTTTTGCATTCTGTGTAAAACTACTTAGGAAGTCCTAAAGTTGCCTCAAGCCCTTGCAACTTGCTAGGTATATTGGATTTGCAAGGTGTTTTGCTTGCTCATCTCTTCCCAACGAGAAAGATGCTGGTATTTTTCCCTGACTGCTTTTGCGTTATATAAGTCTATCTGATCTGAGCTGGCTTTCTAAGCACCACCAGCGTGCTTGGTTATTGTGATTTCCGGGCCAGGAGGAGCTGGACCCAGGCTTACATTAGGGGCTTCCATCAACTTTCCCCTGCCTCAAAAGCTCCCCCAGGCTATTAAGGTCAAACATAAGATCATTTATTCTTGCTTTCTGAAGCCACAGTCTGGCAAATAGCATTTTCAGACATCTGACTTCTGATGCAAACACAGAGCCCTAAGAAATGTAGGCTTTGTGTTCTGGATTGGGAACTGCCTGGCTCTTACCACTGCAGACCTTGCTGTGTGTCTCAATAGAGTTCAGAGGATGGGAGCGATAACGTGATATTCCTCCGAGCGTTCCAGTCATCTGCTAGGAGCTGAAGCTCAGATTATCTGAGAAGGGTGCAGTGCTGATTGAGGTGTGCAGTTGTGTGCTTTGCTATTCTGCATCACTTTGACCAAAAAAATATTTTGGGTCAAATCAAACCCTATAATATTCCAATATATATCAAACTGAAGATTGTATAGTAGTTCATGGGTTTCAGTGATGCCCTGAAATGAACTCGCCCTTGGTTAATAACACATTATGGAAATGGTGCCAGAGGTGGCACACACAAAGACCATTAGTATAGCAAATGCTAAATGTCTGGAAGGTTCAACACTACCTCTATATTTTAGCTCTCGCTATGTCTGTGAGAGACGTGTCATGCGGCTGTGACTAGGCTTAGGGGCTGCAGCTGAGTTCCCAGTTCTGCAGGCTCTGTGTGTACCTTGGGTAGGTGATCGCATTTCTTTGACTCATTCCCTACTTGTGAAGTGGAGATGACAAACGTTAGAGCAAGGCAAACCCTGTTTTGGGGCAGTCTGTTCAAATATCTCTCCTGATAAAAGCAATACAATAAGGACAAAAAACCCCTTTGAACTGGATTGACTCATAATTTTATCTGAAAATTATCTTTCTTTAGAAAAATCCATTTGGATATTTTTATGTCTGATTCAAATCTCATTTCTCACCAGTTTCTAGCTGCCATTAGCCAGGCCCGGCTGTCTCGCCCATTCTGGCTTGACAGCTTGAATTAGCCATAGTCTTTGGCCATAAGCCTGTGCAAAATGGCTAATCAGCTTGCCTCTGGAGCATATGATGCCTTTCAGATCAGCTTATTGGGTAGAGCTCTCACCAGTATTTATGATGATGAAGCCATATGTGATAACCTAGATTAGCCTTACTGAAGTCATTTTTCAAAAAGCGCACTCTGAGTTGACAGCCTCAGGTTTTTGTGGTCCTCACTTGCAGCTTGTGCGGATAAGCTTTTTCTGCCCGTGAAGCCGATTGCCGTCAAAGTGCCATTTGTACTGTTGCAGGAGCTGGGTTGAACTGTATGTTAATAAGCTTGTGGGAGGTAGGAATAAAAGGGTGGTGTTCAACCTCTCTTATGTGTGAAAAATACAGTATCTCCTTCCTAAAATGACAAAATGCATTCTTCGATAGATTTCAATTCCTTACCCATCACCTTCTTCAGATGCCAAACAGGATGAAACCTGTAAGTCTTTCTCTTTCATTTTGAAAAAATACATCTTTACTGCATTTTTTTTATCAGCTTTATGCACTGTCCGAAATGATCACCTGAAATGTTTTCTGGATAGAAACGTGCCCTTTGATGTAAGAGAGGGTAATCACTTTCTCTGGCTTGCAGTTCTAAATGCTTTCTTTTTTCTGGATTGTGAAAAGTATTTCCTGATTAGAAGGAGATGTTGCTACTTCATCCACCCGTTGGTAATGGATTTGCCCTTGGCTACTGCTGTACGTGCAATTAGTATTTACAAGTTTCATTCAGATGTATTAGGGCCCTAGTTATTGCTTATTTTCAGATGTTTTGTGCTCTTTATAGAACCATTGCAAGACATATGTACTCTAGATCACGCTTTAAAATCAACTCCATTACTTATGGAGAGATGGTTTCCTTCTGGTTCCTTCCCTCCTCTCTGTATTTCTCCTAATGTAAGTAAGATAAGTAAGGGAGCTACTTGTGTAGAGAGTTTCTGATGTCTGCTTTTTGCAACATTAAGGGGAAAAATGTGACGTTAAGGGGAATTAACTGCAAAAATATGGTGAAAACTAGAAAATCTTGTGAGTTAGGTCTGTATGTATTCATGGCGTTTTCCCCCTCTGCCTCTTCTCAGGCCTTTTGGACAATCTTATGTCTTGAGAGACTTATCCTAAAGTCCCAGTTTAGCATGGCCCTTCCTCGCCCCCTTGCAAGATAACCATCCTTGTGTTTTCCAGGCCATTACATGAAATCATTTCTCTGGTATTTCATCTTCAAGAATAAAAATATGAAGCAGAACTGTGTCCACTTGCATGAAATGCTTAGGAATGAAAGTTTTTAAACTTCATGTTGTTCCTCCTGGGGTTTACGAGACTAGAAATGGGATTATTCCAACTAAGCAGTATGTTTAAATGCTAATTAGGAATCAGGTGGAGCTCTGATCATTGTTCATTCCTACATTTTAGATTCACCAAGATGAAGACAGCGACCAACATTTACATCTTTAACCTCGCTCTGGCTGATACCTTGTGTCTGATGACCTTACCCTTTCAGGGTACAGACACGTTCTTGGGCTTCTGGCCCTTTGGCAATGTCCTCTGCAAAATTGCCATCTCCATAGACTACTACAACATGTTCACAAGCACCTTCACCCTGACAATGATGAGCGTGGACCGCTACATCGCTATCTGTCACCCCATCAAAGCACTGGATATACGCACTCCCCACAAGGCCAAAGTGGTGAACGTGTGCATCTGGGCGCTGGCTTCTGTCTTTGGCATCCCAGCAATGGTGATGGGATCTGCAGAGAATGAAAACAACGGTCAGTAAAAATGCATCCAAGGGGAGGGAGGTGTTGGTGGCCAGAGCAGCCTCTGGGCTGGGGCAGCTGTTGGAGAGAGGTACCAGTTCCCTTAGTGGGTTAAGCTGCCAGCTCTCAAGCTATCTTAACTCCTTGCGCTCTGCCCTTGCCTCTCTGCATTGCTGCCATTGCTTTTCCAGGGGCAAACGTACCTAAATTACACTGAATGTACAGATGCTTTTGCTCTTGGTATAGGTTTGTTGACCTTTCCTCCTCTTTATTTTTTGTTTGCAGAAATTGATTGTCTGATCAAACTCCCATCACCTGTGGATTACTGGGATCCTGTGTTTGGCATATGTGTCTTTCTCTTCTCCTTTATGATCCCTGTGTTGATCATAACCATTTGCTACAGCCTCATGATCAGGCGACTCAAGAACGTCCGTGTCCTCTCAGGCTCCAAGGAGAAGGACCGAAACCTGAGGCGCATCACCCGAATGGTGCTGGTGGTGGTGGCAGTCTTCATTATTTGCTGGACTCCTATCCAGATTTTTGTGCTGGTCCAGTGCTTGGGTGCCAAGGCAGAAAGCGAGCTCGAGTTGGCCATCTCCTGCTTCTGCACCGCGCTGGGGTATGCCAACAGCAGCCTGAACCCAGTGCTGTATGCCTTCTTGGATGAGAACTTCAAGGCGTGCTTCAAGAAGTTCTGCTTCCCCACGGCCTTCAGGACCGAGCTCCAGATGTCCAACAGGATGTGCAGCATTGCCAAGGATGTGGCTTACGCCTGCAAGAACTCGGAGGGGACTAACAATCCGGCCTGACTAGGCATGGAAATTCCCATGGTGGCTGTTGCCCAGCAGAGTCCAACCACCCCCACGTCAGAGCTAACTCAGATTACGGCTCTTTAGCAGGACCTCAAAACTAAGAGGCAAGAAACCTCAGAGGCAATTTTGGGGGTTGGGAAAACTGGATCCTGCAAGAGCATGCAGAAAAAGTGAGCCGATTTGATGCATTTTTAATTCCAGTGCCCTCTGCACTAAATAACGTGTTTGAAGTCAGCCCTTTGATTTCTAAGAACCCGTGGTGGTTTGCAACGTTATCAAGAATTCAGGAATCAAGGAGTTTAAGCCAGGCATTGCTCCTGGGCCTTATGTTCTTGCTGCTGGGAGACAGACAAAATGTAAACTATGCTTTTTCCTCCTTGAGCTGTTTAAGATGCTCTTGGCTCACCAGGCACTTGCGTGTGGATCTTACTCCTGCGGCATTGCTCTGAAATTAGACTTCGCTGAAGCCAACGTGGGGAACAGCCGTCAGACAAAACCCTAGATCATCTCCAGGATGAGTCATCATGCAGGGAAGGGAGTAGGGAAGGAGCAGAGAACAGACTGGCAGAAAGGGAAATCCAAACTGTCCGGAGCCGGGTGAGGTGCCTGACTGCAAGTCTTGGCTCAAAGCCTGGGGACAAGAACAACGCCAGATCCTGCAGCCAGAGCCCTGCAATAAGCCCTCCACCTCAAGGGGAGACGAGGGTGGTGAGAAGGGACTGTCAAAACTGATGAATGTAGCCCGGAAGAGGTGAAGGAAAGACAGACAAAATGAACACAAATCCTTGTTTACATGCTGCTATTGCTTTTTTAACCCTGTATTTTCAGTAAAATAATGGACAATGCGTATCTATATAGACACATACACTTCTCTATATTACTGTAGGTACAGATATATCATAGGATTTCATCTTGCCAAGCATGCCTTGGAGAGCTTTCCTCGTGAGAGGAGAAGGGAAGGAAGTGACCTAAATGAACATGTATTTATGTATAGGGGAAAGTCATTTCAAAAGAGCTGGGATGGCAGCTCCTCCAAAAAGACAACATTTCTGATAGGAGGGATGCAGCCTAGGACGTTCTCACCGGCTCCATGTGAGAAATGGTGTACAAAACATACCAAAAAGGTGGGGGTTGTCTTTCTTTTAAATGAAATGATACATATGAAGTGGAAAGAGCAAGCCCCTTTCCCCTCGAGAGCTTGGGAGATGCTGCTGAGGAGCCACCCCTCCTGCCAGCTGTAGATCCTGCCCTGGTAGGACAGAAATGTATGTAAAATGAAATGTCCTGTTATTTCATTTGAAATGGGAGCATTTCTGGAGAGTTTGGCCTCGGAGTGCCCTCTGCGTGGGCAGGGAGGGCTGGCTTGTATTTCCCCGTCCCGCAGCAGCCCTGCGAACTGTCAGGAGTAGTGGTGAGCGGAGCTGACTGGGAAATAAAGCGATAATCTCCATTTGGAAATGGGTGATCAACTCCAGTGTGAGAGATGGCAGCAGCATCTGAACTGTACAGTTTTCATGTGAATATATTTCTTGTGCTCTGGTCTGAGATTCTGTATTTTTAATGTATTGATTTGCCAATGTTTTAATGCTGTCATGTTCTTTACAAATGCTATATAAAAGAATTCAATGTTATATTTCTAGCTAGAGAGTTTCCCTTATGGTTGGGCTTAAAATATAGATGCAATTCCAGTGTCCCACATAGAGGACCCACATTCCTTGTAAACTGCACAAGCTGGAAGAATTTTCTTGCTGATTAGCATTTGATTGGGAAGCTGGAGGAATACCAGAGACAACTTTACAAATAGCACTTTGCCTGAATAAAGGGGGAGGGAGGGAGAGGAAATCTGGGCACTTTAAGCACTTTGCAGTGGACGTTTACCCCAAGCACTAACTGGGAAATTTCATACAACTACCTAGGCCAAAACCCCAAGCATGCTAAAAAGTATTGCCTGAGAACCTCACTGCGGGCAAGCTGCATCCATGCCCCTGGAAAATTAGTTTAGTGGGCTCTTATGCTCACGGATTCAATAAAAGCGTTGGCCAGTGAACAGCCTCAGTTCTTCTGACCCCATCAGCTGTCATGCAGTTGACAGAGCTGCGAGCGCGTTTGTACATAAAGCTGTGGAATGGCCGTGGGGCTTTTCTTGCAGTGCCCTCAGGGAGCAAGAAAGAGTTTGGTAGTGGCTGGCTAAGGAGCAGCTGCCCTCCCTTTGTCGTTCTCAGTTGGGTTTTTAAATAGATTTATGTCCTCTGAAAATATATCAGTATTTGGCAATTTTTATAATTTTGTTATAATGACAATGCTGCAATGATCTTGCATAATCAAGTACTTGATAAATGTGTTTACTAAGCTTTTGGGTAATTCTGTGGCCCTTGCAGTGAATGTGTTTAGACATTCTGTTCAATGCTCAGTGGAGTTTGTTATAAGAGCAAGAAACCTGAAAGCAAAAGCTTTATTGTACTGTGCCTATGGAATTAAAGGCTCGTGATCAGCTGGCTGGTTGAAATGCAGGCTCTTTAATTCTCTTCTGAAATGGTTGTGTTCATATGATTTTACAGTTACTGCAGTGTACGTGACAATTTCCTAGGTGGCTACTTGTGTGCTTTAATAAAGGAAAAAATAAAACTCCTGTGCTTTGAACACTGTGGAATTTGAAAGGCTTAACAGTGTGGATCAGTGGGTTGTCTTAACAGCAGAGCTGCCAGGATGTTCGCGCACGGGCTTATTCTTCCTGCTG